ATCGTTATCCCACCAGGCTCCCTAGACCTGTGCCGCACAGACAGTACAAGGGAACGTGGATACACGTTACTTAAGTCATACCTACAGTGTAGATTCAACTTAGAACCGTAAATCAAGCTTTAGAGGGAAGGGTCACTGATCAATACATAGTTGTGTTGTGTTGGTGTAAAAACAACTTAAGTAATATTTGTTAACTTGTGCCTTTCTGTACTTTCACACTATTTGAAACTTCACAGTAAAATATGACACCTGTAAAAAGAAGACAGAAAGAGGAAATTACCAAAGAGAGAAAGAATTCTGCTTGAATTCTGCTCTGACTTGACAAAAACACTTCATTCTAGTCATTCAAAAATGACTAGTTTATAGTGTTAATCCTGATTTTGTGGATTTTATGTACATTACAAATAATCATTTGTATACATACTGGGAAGCTGTTATAGTGTGTATAAAGCCTAGCCAAAAAAAAAATTAAATGATAGTGCAATCGAATGAACACAAAGAACAGAAATGCTCTTGCTAAAGCCTTTGTGGATTAAAAAGTAATTCTCTCAAATCCCAGTAGTCCAACAAAATGGTACAATGTGTTGATGTGAAAACCCGACAACTCAAAATATGAGCTTTGCTTTCATATCACACAAAAAAAGAAAGAAATAATATTACATGTCCTTTTAAATCTAGCACAGTAACTCGACGCTTTAGGAGATACATCAACATGCACCTCCGTGTGTGAATATGTGCTGTGCTAACTTGAGCAACTAGGTCACCTAAATTTTCAAGGGGAAGATGTTTGCTTCAGGCCAGTATTCAGTGGGGTGAAACATTCACTGTGTTGGTTTTTAAGACACCAAGCAGACTCCACCATGCTGATCACTACGCAATGGCCTGCTGCACATGCTAACCGACTTGTGTTTTCTCTTTTTTCTTTTCTTTTCTTTTTTCCAATGTTGCCAGTAGTGTTTCATTAACAGCACAAAAGGTTATAATCTCAGTCACCTTGAAAGGACACTGTCAGGAAATGAACAAATCTGACTCAAGTCCCTGGAGGATTTGAACCTTTAAAGCTGTCACCCTCAATGATGAAGTCTTCTGTTCTACCTAAAACCTATTTAAATGAAAATATATACATGTACTACTGTACAAAGTGCAAGTACATGTCTGTGTTCATTTCAATGCGGGTTACTTATGATAAGATAAGATACTTAAAACCAAAGGTGCTACTGTAACCAGGCAGATAAAACTCAACCTTATCTCTTTTGTCCTTTGGGTCTTGCATCAGCAGGGGTTGCTATCCCCCATGCTAAACAAATGCAAATATTGTGCAAATATGCATGAACCAATGTGTGGTCATGCACACAAACAGCATCAGACACATAAATGTCCACACTATAAACATGCGTGTGCATACAGTAAGAGAAACTGCAGGGATAATCAGCAAAAGCTGATTTTGTCTCCGTACAGAATTCAGTCATTATTGCATGTTCATTTCTGTCTGTAAGAGAAGAATGTTCAAACATTCATCATGCATGATTGCAGCGGAATTTACAGTCAGAAAATGGTAAATGTCAGGTAAAGGCCCATGGGCAAAGAACGCCACTGACTACATTGTGTAGTCTACTGCTGAGCACCTAGGTGCAGCATGCAGGCCTGTAGGTGCAGAGATTTTCCCCTTATGATATTTGTGCAACATAAGAGCAAAGTGGAAATTTTGTAAATGTCACAAGATGGAAGGCAGGATAAAAATCAAGCATTGCACAATGCTATTATCTCCCCAGCCTCTCAATCAGGGAAGGCTGACTGAACTGCAGCATCCCTGTAAACAGATAATTGCATTCAGACCTAGGAGCATTGCAACACAACATGTCTCCTGTTGTTGGTCATTAATCAGCTTAGATGAAGCAGGGGTTGACTCACCCAAATAAAAAATAAAGCATTTTCTAACCTGCCTCTAGTTGTATTTAGTCATGCAGATAGTTCTAGTTTAATAGATATCCCCAGTACAATAGAGGATGTGTTATGCATGGATTACAGTGTGTTACTATGAACAGTGTTCTTTGGAACTACGTTTTAACTTTGTCCACACAAAC